TTGAGTTCAGGGCCACCTTGAACTATGTAGTGAGACTCTGTCCAAAAAAATAGCCACAAGAAAACAAAAAATAAATATAAAAATAATTTGTTGAAATGAAGTTTACACACATAAAATTAACCCTTTGAAATGAAAATTTAGGGGCCAGGGTTTTAGCTCAGTGAAGCCACACCTGGTTGGCAAGCACAGTGTTCTGAGTTTGAGTCCCAGTACCAAAAAAATAAATAAAATGAACATTTAGTAGCATTTTATACATTCACAATGTTGTACAACCATCATTTCTGATAATTGTAAAGTGTTTCCATCACTCCAGCCTAAATTTAACATCCTACATATAAGCAGGTTTTTCCTCATTCCTGTATCTCCCCAATCTGTCAACCACTAGTTTGTTTTCTGACTATGGATTTATGTATTATGGATATTCAATATATAGAATCATACAATGTATAGCTTTTTGTATCTAACTTCTTTCACTTAGCATAATATTTTGGAGATTTATCACAGCATTGGTCAGTACTTTGTTCCTCTTTAAGCTGAATACAATTCCATTATGTGGATATACTATAATTAGTTTCTACAGTCATGTTAATGAACATTTAGACTGTGTTTTCCTTTTGGATATGTGAATAGTGGTGCTATGAACATGTGTGTACATGTACTTGAGTACTTGTTTTAGTTCTCTCAGATATATAAATTGTTGGAGTAAATGAGAATTCTATGTGGAACTTTTTTGGAGGGATTGAACTCAGGACCTTGTGCTTTCGAGGCAGGTGGTGGCACCACTGAGCTAAATCCCTGTCCCAATGTGGAACTTTTTGAGAAACCTTTTTTTTTTCCCCACAGCAGCTGAATCATCTTAATTTTCCCACCAGGAATATGTGAAGGTTCCATTTTCTTCAGAGCTTAACATTTTTTACTTTCATTTTTAAAAATGTGGCCATGGTGGGCTGGGGATGCATCACATTGGTAGAGTGTTTCTCTGACACGTGTGAGGCTCTGAGTTCATTCCCCAGTACCTGGCCTCAGGAGAGTTCAGATATTCACCCTAAGATAGTAGGAAGTAATATCTCAGTATGGTTTCAGTTTGCATTTCCACAGTGGTTAATGTTGTTGAGCACCCTTTCATATACTTACTGGCCTTTGTATTTTCTCTTTGGAGAAATGTCTGTCCTTTGCTTAATGTATTTCTTTGAGATGAAGTCTCACTATGTTTCCCACGACTATGTTCCCTGGGTTGGCCTTAAACTCTTGGGCTCAAGTGATTCTCCTGCCTCAGCCTACTGAGTGCTGGGACTACAGGTGTGTACTACTGTGCCAGGTTTGCCCATTTTTAAATTGTGTTGTCTTTTGCTATTTTTCTTTACAATTTTTAAATTTTTTTTTGGTACCAGGGATCGAACTCGGGTCCTTGCGCTTGCACAGAAGGTGACAAAATGCTATTTATTTTTTAAGAAGTTCCTTATATATTATAGACATTAAATCCTAACCAAATAGATGACTTGTAAATACTTTCTTCCTTTGCAAATAGGTTACCTTTTAACTTTCTTGATAATGTCCTTTGAATGTACAAAAGTTTTAAATTTTAATGAAGTCAAGTTTATAATTTTTGTTTGTTGTTCATGGTTTCGTTGTCATATATAAAAATTATTCCCAAGTCAGGTCATGAAAGGTTACCCCGTTTGCTTTTAAGGCTTTGTGATTTTAGCTCTTAGAGTTTTGATCTATTTTAAGTTAATTCTTATATATGGTATGAAGTGGGAGTCCATTTCATTCTTTTGTTTGTGAAAATTTACTTGTCTTAGCATCACTTGTTGAATGGACTTGATCCTTCTCAATCTAGTGACTACAAATGCATGGGATTGTTACTGGTTCTTAGATCTGTTCAGTTGGTCTGTCATTGTGGCAGTACTAAAATGGCTTGGTGAATGATGCTTTATAGTAAGTGTTGAAATTGGGAAGTGAGTCCAACAATTTTGTTCATTTTTCAAAATTGTGTCTAGCTGGGACACCTAAATTTCTCTAAAAATTTTAGGATCAGCTTGTTAATGTTTGCAAAAAAAGATGGTAGTATTTTGCTAGGGATTATGTTGAATTTCTAGGTCAAATGTGGAATAACATTAAATCTTTACATTTGTTCAGATGTTTAAAATTAACCCCTGCCCTCCTTTGCAGTATTAGGGATTGACTCGGGCTCTGTATCACTGGGTTTTCCCCCAGACACTTACCTGTCTTACTTCCTTACATGTTGAGGGTTGAATTCTGGATCTTCGCACTGAGATACATGCACAGCTCTTTTTTTCCTTTTTTTTTTTTTTAATGGAGACAGTCTTACTTTGTAGGGTCAGTCCTCTTGCCTCAGCCTTTTGAGTGCTGGGATTTTTTTTAACTCTTAATTTTTATTTCAGATAGTCTTGCAGAGTTGCTCAGGCTGGCCTTGAATTTGTAATCCTCCCGTTTTAGCTTCTTGAGTAGCTGGGATTACAGGCTGGGTCTTTTTAAATTTTCATGAGCAGTAGTTTGTAGATTTATTGCTATAGATGCAAGTTATAAATGAGATTTTAAAAAAATACCCTTTTGGGTTATTTATGCCTGGTGTATAGAAATAAACTTGAGCATGAGCTCTAGTAGTTTTCTTTGAAGTTTTCCGTATATAGGATCATATCATCTGTGAATAAAGATAAATGATATTTCTTCCTCCTATCAGTTTTGTATTCCTTTTATTTTTTTATTTTAATTTAATTTTATTTTTTTGGTACCGGGGATTGAACTCAGGACCTTGCATTTGTGAAGCAGACAGCAGCACCACTGAGCTAAATCCCCAGCTGTAATCCTTTTATTTATTGCCTAATTGTGCTTCCTGGAAACTTCCAGTACAATATTAGACAGCAGTGGTGAAAGTGTTCTTGTCTTGTTCCTAATCTTAGGAAAAAAGCTTTCATTATTTCACTGTTAGGTGTGATGTTAGTTTTGAGTTTTTCATAAATGCTTTTTATCTTGTTAAGATAGTTTCCTTCTACTCATGGTTTTCTGAGTGGTTTTTTTTGTATCATGAAAGACTATTGGAATTTGTAAAATGTATTGTCTGCATCAATTAAGATGCTCATTTAAAAATATTATTTCTTTCTCTTTTTTTGTACTGGGGACCTAACTCAGGACCTTGCACTTGTGAGGCAGGTGGTGGCATCACTGAGCTAAATCCCTGGTCCTAAAATATAACTTCTAAATGCAAATCAGTTCATGTAATTCATTCCATTACCCAGAAGTTTTATTTATATGCATATTAAACTCTGAACTAACTAATAGACTTTTGGGGGCTCATTTTTATGCTCACTCTTTAGCAAAAGTCGGCTGCTTGCTCAATATTAAAGTAGATAGAATGATGAATCCCACAAAATGCCTACATCCTAATCCCTGAAACCTTTATAAATACGATAGGTTGTATTAGGTTGCTAATCTGCTACCCTTAAAACAGGCAAATTGTTAGGATTGTCTGTCTTGGTGGGCCAGTATAATCACAAAGGTCTTTTTTGTTTGTTTGTTTGTTTAACAGTAGGAAAACTTTATTGAGAGAAAGATAGCTTCTGCCTAAGAGAGACGGAAGGAGGACCAGAAAGTGAGTTGCCTCACAAAGGTTTTTACAAGTAAAAGGAGGAGGCAAAAAATGAGGCCAAGAAGAATGAAACAATGCTTTGAACATAGGCAAAGGATTGTCTTTTTTGGGAGTGAGGGTGCTGAGGATTGAACGCATGGCCTTATGCAAACTTGGTTAATGCTTTAGCACGGAGCTACATCCATGGGCCCTTTTTTAAAACTTTGAGACAGGGCCTTGCTAAGTTGCCCAGGGTATTCCTTCATTAGCCCTCTGAATAGCTGGGATTCAGGCATGTGCCATCATGCTTGCTTGGGAAAGAATAGTCTTTAGTAACACAAGGAAGAGTTTCTTCTCTGGAGCCTCCAGAAAGGAATGCAGTGCTGCCAACATAGGTGATTTTGGATTTGTCAGATTTTGACCTACAGAAATGTAAATAATGAATTTGTGTTTTATGCCAAGCAGTTTTTGGTAATTTGTTGCAGTGACAATACAAGACAAATACAGTTATCCAAGCATATTTTATTCTACCATTTATGATGTGGTTTTATTTCTCCAAACAAACTAAAATTCCTCTAGGTTGTTAAAATTATATTTACTATTTTTAAAATTATATTTATTATTAAATAAAAACCCATCTCAAAGGTTCAACAACCATAAAGCCTTTTGTTTTTCTTCTTCCACTTCACCTCCCCTGAATGCTCTACCCAAATATTCCTAATTTTCTGTTTTCCTTCCTTTGGTTTCTTTTTTTTTGGTACTGGGGATCGAACTCGTGTCCTTGCGCTTGGCAGGCAGTGGAAACACTGAGCTAAATCCCTGGCCCTTCCTTTGGTTTCTAATACAGAGTTTTAAAATACAATATTTGGTGTTTATTATATTAATATTTTATTTTATTTTTTATTTTTATTTTTATTTTTTATGGTACCGGGGATTGAACTTGGGACTTCCCTCTTGCAAGGCAGGTGGCAGAACCACTGAGCTAAATCTCCGGCCCTATATTTTATTTTAAAATTCTATTTTGCTTGTATATATTTGTATGTGTGTAAATGTGTAAGATTTGTATGTGTGTAAATGTGTAAGAAAATATGTAAGATTTTTGTACTTTACATTGTAATACATTTAATTTTTTAAAAAATTTAGCTTTATCTTTTTAGACTGTCAAGAGATAAGTGACTATTTTACTTGACTTTGTCTTTTCTTTTGAATAGCTCATCTTGGAGATTGGTTCAAATGAATCTTTATAATGTTAAAAAATGTTTTAAAGTGCGAATTTAAACATGAAAAGGAATTGTTTTTTCCCTTAATGAAAACAGGATTCTAGGAACAGAAGAAATTTAAGCAGAACTAATGTATCTTTTTGTGTATTCCTTTTGGATATTTTAGTGAATGTGATATCTGTATCTTACAGAATGGAGATGTGTGCATTTCGATTCTTCATCCACCTGTAGATGACCCACAGAGTGGAGAACTGCCTTCAGAAAGGTGGAATCCTACTCAGAATGTGAGGTAAGGTGTTATATAAGGAAAAAATGCTTTTTTTTGGTTTTTGTTTTGTTTTTTTCTGATACCAAGGATCGAACTCAGGAGCTTGTGCTTGGCAAGCAGGCCCAGTGCCCCTGAGCTAAATCCTTATCCTTGTTTTGTCTTTTGAAGGAAGGGTATGGCTGTGTTGCTTAAGCTGGCCTTCAATTCCCAGGCTCAAGTACTATGTCTCAACCTCCCCCAAGTATCTAGAATTAGAGGCATATACTACCAGAATAATATTTTTTGTGTGTCTTGGAATCTCATTTCTATACTCCTAGTAAAGTACGATTACATATTGTTTTTTAACCAATGTAGAAGAATCATTCTTATCTTTGGTGGTTTTATCTCCAGGTTAAGAAGCATGTATGCATCATTCTGAAATTATTGTATGTGATTCTCATTTTCCTGTGCTCATTTATGGAGGAAGTTTTTAAGCCTGAGTTATTGCTCTTACATTATCTTAAATTTGGTCCCTCTTTTTTGAATCCCATGACTTCTGTGTTTAAATTGCTTGTCTTTTTATTTTAGTATTTCTGTTACTTTTAAAGAAAAGTCTTAACCTTTACAGAGTCAAGTTGAGTTTATATACTGTTTTAAAAAGAGCTTTATCTGGTGCTTTTTCTTTGTTATTTGTGTAAGGGGGGTTGGAAGACTTGATAATTGCGCTTTCGTTTGACTGTCCATCTACTGATTGATTCCTTCCTTCCTTCCTTCCTTCCTTTTTTTTTTTTGGTACCGGGGATCGAACTCAGGTCCTTCCGCTTGCAAGGCAGGTGCCAGAACCGCTGAGCTAAATCCCCGGCCCACCTTAAAAATTTTTTTAAAAAACTGTACTGTTTAATGTTTTTAGGTAGAGGTTTTTTTATCATAAATTTCTTTTTCTTTTTTTTTTTGGTACTGGGGATCGAACTCGGTCCTTCCGCTTGCAAGGCAGGCAGTGGAACTACTGAGCTAAATCCCCGGCCCATAAATTTCAATACTTAAAAATAATCTTGTGCTTACATGCAATACATGAAGCCCTGGGTTCAATCTAATAGTTCTAAAAAAAAAAAAAAAATCCTCTCTTGCACTCATATTTGCATTTTACTCCCCTACTGAATTTTGTCCTAGTACTTAAAATTTTTTTGCTTGATAGCCTTATACTATTTATCCTATATTTCATCAAATGTCTTTGTGTAGTTATTTGTGACAATAAAGCTCTAAAATGTCAATTTATTGTTATTACCATTACTGATAAACAGTTGATTTAAAACAGTATATTGCAATTGTTAATGCACTTTTTTGTTGTTGTTGCTGTTAATGCACTTTTAATAATTATTGGAAATCTCCTCTCTTCTATTCCTTTCCTTTCCATTGTGGTATTGGGAATAAGTCCAGGGCCTCATGCATATTAGGTGCTAGTGCTCCACCACTATAAGCTGTAGCCCCAGGAAATGCATATCTGTCTGTCAATATCTATGTCTTCCTCCCTCCATCCCTCCCTCTTACTCTCTCTACCCCTCTTCTCTTCTCTTTTCTTCTCTTCTCTTCCTTTCTCTTCTCTCTCCCTTCTCTCCCCTCCCTTCCCTTCTTTCCTCCCTTTTCTTTTGTAGTACTGGGGTTTGAACATGCAAGGTATGCACTGTAGCACAGAGTTAAGTCCCCAGACCCCTTTTTCTTATTTTTAATTTTGAGACAGTGTCTTGCTAAATTGAGCAGGTTTGCCTTGAAGTTGTTTTGTTTTGTTTTGTTTTTTGGTACCGGGGGATCGAACTTGGGACCTTGTGCTTGCGAGGCAGGCGCCGGAACCACTGAGCTAAATCCCTGGCCCTTGAAGTTGTAATCCTGCTTTAGTCTCCTGAGTAGCTGGAATTACAGGTGTGTACCACTGGTCTGGTGGAAGTGGATTTCTTAATTAGATTGACATTTATTTTGTTAGTTCATGTATCTGGAATAATTGCAACATTTCTAGACTGATTTAGAGTTAGCGTCAGTTTTATTTATATACACATGCATATAAAATATATAAATACATGTGTATTTATAATATATATAATATGACTGAAGGACTAAAATCTTATTTATATATAATAATAGAATAATTTAAGGTTTTGGGTTTTTTTGGTTTTTTTGGTACTGGGGATCAAACTGAGGACCTTGCACTTGCGAGGCAGTTGGCGGCACCACTAGATTAAATCCCCGGCCCCCTAATGTATTTTAAGAGGGTTTTTTGTTTTGTTTTGTTTCAGTTCTTTGAGACAGAGTCATATAACCCAGGCTGAATTTAAACTTGTGGCGATCCTTCCTGCCTTAGCCTCCTGAGTGCCAGGATGATAGGCATGCGCCACCACACCTGATTTGAAACTACGTTTTTTCTATCATGTATGAATTATTTGCCAAAAAACCATGTAGTGGGCCAGGGATTTAGCTCAGTGGTTTTGCCGCCTGCTGCGCAAGCACAAGGACCTGAGTTTGATCCCCGGTAACAAAACAAAACAAAACAAAAAACCATGTAGTGTTCTGTTGTCAGTACTTTTTAAAAGCTTTTTTTTTTTTTTGGAGGCAACAAGGTGCAGACTTTATTCACCTGGGTGCAGGTCAACTGAGGGCGAGCAACTGGTCAGTGGTGAACAAAGAACAGGCAGAGATTTTTATAGGGGATCAGGAAGGGGTCTGGCACATACAGGGGTTGGAGCAAATATTTGTGGTTGTGGTCCATGCAGCCGTCAGGGCAGATGTGTGGGTATTGTCAGGTGACTTGGCACTGGGAAGACATGCTGTGCTTTGTGGTCTTCTCTCCTTTATATAACATCCCTTCTGCATTCTGTGTGTGAGGACATGGCACACCTGTATCTAGGTGGAGACGGCAGGACAAGACCTGGTCTTCAGCCTTCACCTAAGGAGTGGCATGTCTGCTGAGGGCTGCAGTGTTTTGTATCTGCTAAAACTGTCCATGGGCACCTCAGCTGGCTCCATGTCTTGGCTACTGTGCATTGTGCTGTAGTAATCATGGGTATGCGGGTATCCCTGTAGCATGCTGGTTTCAATGCCTGCCAGACATCCGAAATGCCAAGTTTGAGTTCTCTAAACTCAAATGAATTCTAGGAACAACGGAGGTTAAGAGTAGGAAGAATTTTTTTTTTTTCATTTTTTATTAGTACATGTTCGCAGTACATAATGTTTACATTCATCATGGGGAATCGGTGCCTGTACGTAACAAACACATCTTAATTCCTTTTACTTCCTCTTCCCTTCCTCTCATCTCCATCTATCTCTTGGTACCTTTTCCATTTGCAAAAAAATCTAGTTCTCTGTTTCCTATTATCTATCTTTAACTTGCTCTTTAAATTTTTTTATACTTTGGGTTTCTCGTATAAGAGAAACCATGTGATATTTAAGCTTGTGTCTGATTTATAGTATTTCACTTAATAGTATGGTTTCAGGGTGCCTCCATTTTTCTACAAATTTCTCAAATTTATCCTGCGTTAGAGCAGAGTAGTACTTTATTGTGTATAAATATCTAAATTGTGTATAAATACCGTATTTAGGAAGGATTTATTGAAAGACAGCTTCTTTGTGAGAGAGACAGAAAAGGTGACATAGGGGGAATAGATGTTACTCCCATCATGCTAGATGTCAGATATGCCGCGTTTGTCTAAGGAACAACAGAGGTTAAGAGTAAGAACATTTATTGGGGAATAAGAATGGAGAATGAGGGGGTGGGGATTTAGCTCAGTGATTCCTCTGCCTGCCTCAAAAGCACAAGGACCTGAGTTCGATCCCCGGTACCAAAAAGAAAAAGCGAATGGAGAATGAGAATTAGGAATAAGAATAGCTCCTGGGAGACAAGAGGGGTCCCAAATGGGTTCCCTTAAAAGCTTTATTGAGTTAAAATTTGCATGTTATACAAGTTACCCATTTAAAATCTACAATTCAGGGCCTGGGATTTAGCTCAGTGGGTCTGGCGCCTACCTCGAAAACACGAGGTCCCAAGTTTGATCCCCGGTACCAAAAAAATGAACAAACACCAAAAAATAAAATCTACAATTCAAAAAAAAATCTGTAATTCATAGGTTTTTTTATATGCTCAATAATTGTACAACCATTAACACAATCAACATTAGAACATTTTTATCACCCTCAAAAAAACCCTGTACCCATTTGCAGTCACTCATTATCCCCAAACTTCCCAGCCCTAGAAATCACCAGTCTGTTTTCTGTCTATGGATTTACCTATTCTGTACATTTCATATGAGTGAAAACATAATGTGTAGTATTTTTTGACAGGCTTCTTTCACTTGGTACCATTCTTTTCAAGGTTCACTCATGTTGTGATATATATTATTATTTCATTCCTTTTTATAGCTGTTATTCCATTGTATAATCATATCACTTTGTATGTATATATACACAGTATATGATTATATCACATTTTGTGTATCTAGTTGATGGACATTTGGGTTGTTACCACTTTTTGACTTATGAATGATGGTTCTATAAAGAGTGTGTATGTGTTTTTGAGTAGTCATATATACCTTGGAGTGGAATTGGTGGGTGAAACATGGTAACTTTTTGAGGAACTTTCATACTGTTTTCCAAAGTAACTGTACCACTTTAATTTCTACCTGTAAAGTGTGTGAGAATTCCAGTGCCTCCGCACCTCTCCCTGCTCTTTGTTTGTTTGGCTGGTTTTTTGATACAGGGTCTCGTATGTAGTTCAGTCTGGCCTTGAACTCACTATGTAGTCCAGGTTGGCCTCCAACTCACAGTGATCCTCCTGCTTCAACCTCCCAAGTACTAGGATAACACACATGCGACACTAAGCTTGGCTCCACACCTTCTTTGGAAGGCAGCTGTGTTCACCACTATACCACCAGTGCGCCACATCTTCTTCAACACTTACTGTTACAGCCTGTGTTTTTTATTACAGTTGTCCTTGCTGGGTAGGAAGAAGTGTCTCATTGTGGTCTTCTTATCAGTGTCGTTAATCTTGTTTATTTTAA